AAAAAAAAAAAGAATTTACATCAAGCCAGGAATGGTGGTATGTGCCATTCCCCCCAGTACTCAGGAGGTCTCTGTGAATTCAAGAGTGCCCTGGTCGACATAGTGAGCTCCAGGTCAGCCAAAGCTACATAGGGAGACCCTGACTCAAAACAACAACAACAACAAAAAAAAAAATAGACTTTTACTCCTGAACTTAAATATTTTTAATGAAAATAGTTACATGTTCCCTTCCCCAAAATTGTAAAAGAATTGTATTGCTTTACATTTCCTCTCTCCCTTGTTGTTTTGTTTTGAGACAGGGTCTTATGTAGCTCAGGCTAGTTTCCACCTTGCTATGTAGACAAGGATGAACCTGAGCTCTCCTGATCCTCTTGCCTCAGCCTCCGAGTACTAGGATTACATGCAAATGCCACCATGCTATTTAACTCTCTTTCTCTTTTTCTTTTCTTTCATTTTTTTTAGGATTAGGGATTAAACTCTGACCTCACTTCTGCTAAGCAACTTCCCCTCAGCTGAGCTATGTACCAAGTGGGTCTCCCATTCCTTTAAAAAAATCTCAGTAAGTTTCACGGACTAGCCTTGAACTCTGTAGTCAAAGCAGACCTTGAACTTTTGAACCTCCTTCGTCAGTCTCTTGAAAATTAAAGGCATGAGAAACTATGCATGGCTTATTTTACATTTTCTCAAATCTCCATGTCCAGCTTAATAGAAAAAACAGCTAAGCCAGATGCACATAGGGGCTGCATGTCTGTTATCCCAGCACTTGGGAGGCTGAAGCAGGATCATGACCTAAGGCAAGTTTGACTTACATAGTGATACTTTGTCTCAAAGAGTCAAAAGGAGGCTGCTGAACTCTTACTTCTGCCATAGGATCCTAACTTCTACCAATAATTATGCTATTTTGGCTAATGAATATGAATAGATAGCCTCACACATATATAAGTGGATGGGAAGTGGAATATCTTTACCTTTTGAGATAACTGTAGACACTTTGGCACTACATCAAAGCTAGCGAGCGACAGTTTCTAAAAGGTCAACTACAATGTGGTTAGTGAACTTGGGACTCATATAATAAATTCCATTGGTCTGTCTTGCCCTTTGATCTATGGGCTGTTTTCTCCATATCCAGTTTTATAGTTTTAGCTATTGGTTACTTGGAAACTGCTGGCTAAGTAACATGTAAATCCTCCAAACGGTGACATTAGAAATGACCCATTATCAAAAAAAAAAAAAAAAAATGACATTAGGAGACAAAAGTGGTGTTTCACACCTGTAATCCTAGCACTTGGGAGCCAGAGACAGGAAAAGCCCAAGTTTGAGGCCATTCTGTTTTACAGAGTAAGAGTGTCCCAAAAAGCTAAGGAAAATGAGTCATATTATGACTGTCGTCATCTGCTCTGTTTTGTAAGAAAGAGATTAAGTCCTGGGAACTGCAGAAGCGGTGGAGGAACCTCGCCACTTGCTTTCCCTTGAAAACTTGATTTTATCACTGGCAAAAAATATTGTCAGTTGTTTCCCTGGTGACAGGCTCGCTTCATTTGTGTCTGAGAAAATATCTGCCAGATCCCCAAATCTGAAGAGCCATAATTAGTGTCTTGTTCATACAAGTAAAAATGATTTTCCACACAAAATACTGTTAGTTCATTTGGCAACTTCCACCATTTCCCGGTGTGTCTGGGAAGAACTATTGTTCTTGACTTGTAGCAGAGTTACTTGATGCATGCTTCCCATTTCTTCACCTGAAATATTAAAATGATACATATGGGCTGAGGGTTAGAAAATTAATATTTACTGTCTTACCAGGCTGGTTTTCTCTTTGTGTGTGTGTGTGTGTGTGTGTGTGTGTGTGTGTGTGTGTGTGTGTGTGTGTGTATGTGGTTTTGTTTTGTTGTTGTTGTTGTTATTGTTGTTTTTGAGACAGGGTCTCATTTTGTAGCTCTGGCTGTCCTGGAACTCAGTATGTGGACCAGGCTGGCCTCAGATTCACAGAGATCCACCTGCCTCTACCTCCTAAGTGCTGGGATTAAAAGTGTGCACAACTCTGCCCAGCTAACCGGGCTGTTCTTAAGTGAAGATTATTCTACTTTTGTTTGCTTGTGTCACAAAGTACACAGCAGTAAAGAATACAACAGCTGTTTGTACCATTTGAAACCACGGCCTAGATTCAGGCTAAAAGCATTTTTGCCCATCTTTGTTTTGCCTCATCAATCAGAACTCAACACAGGAGAAGTTGTAGAACTACGATGGAAGTCACTTTGCATTCATAGGCCCCCCTGTTGCCCAGGATCTGTGGACACACTTTGAGATGTATTGTTGCAGGATGTTTTGAGAAGTGACTTGGTCACTTCTGCTCCCTCAGCACCTCTGCACTCCTAGAGCATGATTATAGCCACAGAGGAATCTATGCTTTTTCAGCTAGGTTGCATGAGGAATGCTTTACTCTAGGAAGGTATTTACCTTAAGGTTAGTTTTAACCTTCAGAAAATCCTGTTTTCCATTCTAAATTTTAATTAGAGGGCCTGTGTGCCATAGCATGCTTGTGGAGGTCACCATGTGCGTCAGGGTCCAACTCAAGTCATTAGACTTGGTGACAAGTGCCTTTACCAGCTGAGCAATCTCACTGGTCCCTCCATTCTAATTTTTTTTTTTTTTTTTTTTTGGTTTTTCGAGACAGGGTTTCTCTGCGT